AGGGAAATATCTATCCTTCAAAATTTTACTAATCAGAAGATCAGGACTCCATAGCTGTTTGCATATTAAAGCTTCATTGAAGAGCCTTATGTCATGGAAACCTAATCCTCCATTCAGCTTGGGCAAAGTGATCTTCTCCCATTTTTTCCAATGAATGCCAGATTCTGTATCTCCTGATTTCCACCAGAAGGTGGCACACAACTTTGTAATTTCCTTGCATATAGAGACTGGAAGTTTGAAACATGACATGGAAAAGAGTGGAAGAGCTTGAAGCACTGATTTTATCAACACCTCCTTTCCAGCAGTTGAGAGTAGCTTGCTCTTCCATCCCTGCAGCTTGTTTCTTACTGAGGTCAGAATGTAGTCAAAAACTTCCTTCTTTGATCTTCCTATTCCCAGTGGCAATCCAAGATATCTGGTTGATCTATGGGGGATAATGCCTTGAAGGACCCCACATATTCTGTCCCTCAGGTAATGAGGGGTATTTCTACTGAAAAAGATACCTGATTTTTGAAGATTGACTCTCTGGCCTGAGAACTGCCTGTATTTATCCAGAATAGAGAGAATTTGGGAGGCTTGTTCAACTCCAGCTTTGCAGAATAAGAGAGAGTCATCTGCATATAGCAGATGTGTGATGGCTGGCCCATTTTTGGAGAGTTTAATGCCCTGAAAAACTCCATTAGTCTGAGCATTTGTGATGAGAGCTGAGAAGAGTTCTGCTGCAATGATGAACAAATAGGGGGACAGAGGGTCCCCCTGTCTTATGCCCCTAGCTACTAGGAGAAATGAAACCACTTATTTTACCATTGATCTTGAAAGAGATAGTGGTAGTAGAGATACAAACCATAATCAGCTTGATGAACTTCTGGTGGAACCCCATTTGTGTCATAATTCCTTCAATGCTGGGCCATTCCAATCTGTCAAAGGCTTTCATCAAGTCTAGCTTTAAAGACATAAAGAAATTCTTCCCAGAAGAGTGCCTGTTCAGAAAGTGGAAAGCTTCTTGAGCTATAACAATGTTGTCCATTAACTGTCTGTCTTTGACAAATGCTGATTGGTGAGGGCTGATACATCATCCAATATTGTTATCAACTTATGCATTGAAATTTAATTTGTAGACTGAAAAGCTCTATATAAGCTGCATGGGTGGGTTTCTAACATTGTGTGTGGTGCTCTTTCAAGAATCTCCACAACATGCTTTGTCCAATTTGCTTTCTTCTTTTCCTACTCACCCAATCTAACTACTTTTTCAAGAGCAAGCATACTTAATAATTATTATTATTATTATTTTTTTCTTGAATTTGGTTGGAAATTTCCCAAGATTTTAATTATTTCTCTAGAAATTCACTATTACTAGGTCATATTTTTATACCTATTTATTACTAAGTAAAAAAAAAAAAAAGAAAAAAACAATGGGGAGAGGGAAAGTAGAATTGAAGCGAATCGAGAACCCGACAAACAGGCAAGTAACGTTTTCAAAGAGACGAAACGGGTTGCTAAAGAAAGCGTTTGAACTGTCGGTACTATGCGACGCCGAGGTTGCTCTCCTCGTCTTCTCTCCTTCCGGGAAGACCTACCAATTTTCGAGCCATGAGTAAGATTTTGTTCCTTTTTTAAGCGTATATATATAATATTGTTTGTTTATATCAATTACAGATTAATGCTTACACATGATTTTTGCTTCTTAAGCCATGTATGTCAATATGTTTGTATTAATCCATGTTATAAAATTATTAAGATTACATAATAATCAACATAGCATGCATCACATGTTTTTTACTTCGATTATCGCAGCATGAATAGGACCATTACACGGTACAAACTCGAAGTAGGAATAACCAAAACAGACGACCAAGAAATCTCATCCATGGAGGTACCTTTCTTCTGGTTCAAGTTTAATAAAATTTTACTCTTGCAAACAAAATAAGTGAATTTTCATTTGATGTTACTGATGTTTTTTAATCATCATCACTTCATAATTTCACATATATAAAAGTAAAATCTTGCACAAGTTAATGCAAACTGTGGCAGGTGTGGAGAAATGGGATTGAGGAAATGAAGAGAACAGTTGAGGCTTTGGAGACGAGAGAAAAGTGCGTATTTTTTTTTCGCTCTAAAAGACCTTCGTAATTGTATTCGTATCGTCAAAATTTATCGCTATTAACTATTTTAATTAATAATCGCCGTATAAATATGGCGTAATTACTTTTGCACAGCCATTTTGCGGGAGAAAATCTATCCGGGCTCGGGTTGAAAGAGTTGAAGCAGTTAGAGCGGCAACTAAGAGTTGGGGTCGAACGAATTCGTTCCAAGAAGGTACTCTTGAAACATATGAAAAAAAAAAAATTATTGCATTTTAAACACAAAATAAAAAACATTTCATATAGGTAAAAAATATCAATTATAACTGCAAAAGTATTAGTATTTTTTTTTTTTTTTTTCAAGAATTATGATTTTCATCATCTTATAAAACGCGTCACGTAATGTCATTCCACAGCGACGCATCGTCATGGAACACATAAATTATCTAAAGAAAAAGGTAAGGCTCTAAAATAACCATATCAATAATCACCTTAAATTTAACCTAGATTTTCATAATCGAAACGACGAAAATGACCCTTGTATTTGTGTGTGCTAATGCAGCATAAAGACCTTCAAGATGAGAACAACAATCTACAGAGACAAGTGAGTGGACATTCTTGACCCTGTATTCTCATATAAAATAAAACTTGCCCATTATGTAATTTTTTTTTTCTTTTTTTTTTTCTTAATTAATTACCATTTTTGTTTTAAAAAATCTGTTTTATGCTCTCTCTGTTTTGAGATTAAGCTGAATGAGATTGAAGAAGCCAGCACAAGCTCAATCATCATAGAATCAGATGCAAACAGGATGTTTCAAGTGTAAGCAACAGCAATTTGAACTTAAATAGCTCTGCTATTTCTGACATAGACATAAGGATATCCTACGGTCCCGTTACGGAATCATTGCATCAGGATTTGTAGCCGTTTGATCAACTATCCACGACGGTTATATGATGACCTAATGGTTACAAATCCCGATGGAATGGTTCTGTAACGGGACTGTAGCATTTCCCATAGAAATTTTAGTGTATGAACTAGGATTAGTAAGTTCATATTCATTAGCAACAAGATTATACTTATTAGTACACAATTTCATGGGTTTTATTTTGTTTTGTTTTTTTTT